CTAGGAGACTCCCAGCAAATTTTCATGTTACTTCCAGCAGCGGCCTTGGCGTTAGTAGTCTTCTGAACATTTTGGTGTGCTTGTTCAATGATATGGAACCAGACCTTGATTCTTGCAACTAATCCATTCTTTGAGAAAGCACGCCCCTCCAAGACCTCTTCATTTCTTTTTTTCCATAAATGCCAAAAAATAATTCCAAAGTCAATAGCAGTATCCTCCTGTTTCATATTGATGTGCAACCACTCCTGCATTGGCAGGTTCATGTTGTTGGCAGCAACTTTGTTCTGAAACATTTCCCACGCAGCTTTTGCTTTGCTGCAGCTTCTCAGTATGTGTTCAATGGTCTCATCTTTGTCCTTGCAGACGTTGTAGTGGCAGTTGGTTATAAATTTCCTTATGTTCCTCTCCTTGTTGGTCAGCAACCTGTCATGCATCACAAGCCACACAAAATGCTTTATTCTGCTAGGCCCCTTCCATCTCCAAAGATACTTCCAGCGTCTTTCTGGATTCTCCTCATCCTCTTCAGTTGCAAGCTTGTAAGCTGACTTCAGACTGAACTGTCTATCTTTTTTCAGGCCCCAAATGTTTGTATCTTCTTCAAGGGCAGGGCCGGGGGCCCTCCAAGCCTGCAATCAAAGACAGGATGTCATCAGACAACATTGCTTTTAATTTCCTCCAGTCCCACTCACCTTCCTCTATGACCCATTCAGCAACCACTGACTCTTTTTCCTCGTTTGGGACATCATCGAGAGCAAAGTTCTCCAAGATAATGTCACTCTCAATCCAGGGTTGAGTCCAGAACTTTGTAGCTTTGCCATCTTTGATGCTCCAGCAGGTGGCTTGCTTCATAATGTTCATTCCCTTCACAATAGTCTTCCATAGATTAGAGTGGTTGCCCTTTTTCATTGACAGATTCCGCCATTCCTTTGTTTGAAATATTTCCCATGTAAAACTTGAACCCACAAGTCAAACTCCTTATTAAGCATATTTCAATCAAGCTTTATCATATATGCTAAGTTCATTTGTCTAGCTGACTTAAGCCCAAGACCACCTTGTTCCTTAGGTTTCCAAATGTTCTCCCAAGAAACAAGGTGGGTCTTCCTCTTCCCATCACAGGATCCCCAAACAAAGCCCCTCACTTTCCTATCAATGGTGTCACAAATGGAGGCAAGAAGGGAAGTGGTTTGCATTGCATAGAAAAGGCATTGAGAACAGAGGTGGCTAGAGTAACTCTGCCAGCAAGAGAGAGGGTTCTAGCTTTTCAATTAGTAAGCTTTAGGTCGATCCTATCAATGATGTACTTATAAGTAGCCTTAGTGATATGACCATGGATAACAGAAACAACAAGGTATCTTCCCAAGTCACTAGTGGCCTGGATCCCAAGTCTCTTACATATTTCAATTATGTTATGGTTCTTAACATTTCTATAGAAAAACACCCTAGACGTATCCTTACGAACAACCTCTCCTGAAGCTTCACAGATTCAGACATTTCAGGACAAGGTTAGTTTGCAAAGGATTGGCTTCCACAAATAACAGAAGGTCATCTACAAAGAACAAGTGGGAGAGGGTTGGTCCCCCTGGTGAGAGCCTAATAGGGTTCCCGTTACCATTCTCAACTTCATAAGAAATACTGTGGATTAATCTTTCAACATAGAGAGTAAAAAGGTAGGGAGAAAGGGGACATCCCTGTCTAAGGCCTCTGGTAGGCTTGAAACTTTCAGTTTTTCCTCCATTCCATAGGACTTGATAGCTTGTAGAAGTCACACACTCCATAATGATGTTGATAGTGCTAGCTACAATCATGGCAACCTTGAGGGTTTCTTCAAGAAAGTCTCATTCAATTCTGTCATAGGGTTTAACTATGTCCACTTTCAAAACCATATAGCCCTTCTTTCCACTCTTCCTTGCCATTGAATGAATAGTTTCCTGCAGAATAATGATATTATCGGTAATATGACGATTTGGGATAAAACTGGATTGGTTCTTCTTAACCAACTAAGGCATCATTGGGGAGGGATTTTCCACTTTGGGGATCAGAGTAATCATAGTGTCATTCATGCATTGGATTCTACTAGCGTTCCTAATACAAGCAGATATAAACTAGCTTTTTACCCGGCCCGTTGGCCGGTGAGTTTCATTTTATCATTTATATTAATCAATTTATCTATATGTTTAAACTATTTTGGATCTTCTACATTTTTTACATTTGCATTCATGCGTGAGTATGCGGTGCGTCTGTAAATTAAAAATTCTCAATGCTTAGCACGTTCACTTATGATGTTTCAATTCTCTTATCATAAATCATGTCACAAAGATATATCACGATACTCAAATGCGTGAGTATGTGGTGCGTCTATAAATTAAAACAACGATATTCAAAAAAATTTATCTTATACAATATATGTCATTCAATGAATCTCGAGTTTAAACAAACTCTCAACCAATGATGTTGCTTAGATGACGACAACTTATTTAGAATGTTTTTATAAAGGTACTTCAATATTAGGTAAATTTGGTCATCCCAATTGAAAGTTTATTGTCTTATTGTAAGATCATATTTGTCGATCAATACACTCAATTTAATATCTTATACAATATGTACCAATTGTTAATTCCTGAAGTTTAATTTAGACTCACTCTCAACGAATGATCGTTGTTTAGATGTTGGTTTAGAATCTTGGTCCAAGATACTTACACACTGTCGAGGGTTCTAATCTTAACATGGTCCATTGGTGTATAATTTTCTAACTTATCAAATATGCATTTGCTTAAACTTATACTAATACCTTCATTTTGTTGGTGTAATGCCACATCTATTGTCAGTATCTAAGCATGATACTATACTCTAAGTAAGAACACGCTATCTGGACCACGAATTAACCGGATTTGTGGGCATGATACTATACCCTAATTCTTGATGAGTGAACCCTATGTCTTAGTTATCTAAATCATAGAGCTTAACCCCTAAGATTGTGCATGTAATATGTTGCATATATTTTGACGAAGCATGACCGTTGATTTTTGTTTAGAATTAAACTGATCTTAGGGTATGAGATTTATAAATTTAAGACCTAGATTTTAATCTTGAAGGGTTTGAGAATAATACCATATGCCAAACTCTAGTCAATTCAAGGTCTAGATATCATTTCTTACTCAAAGTATGTCATAATATACATATATAAATATAAAGAGTTTAATGTATTTTTAAGTGTAATTAACACCTTTGTTTGACCGAAATATGTAAACTATTAGAAAAAAATAAGGGGAAATATGAACAAATGTAAGAGAAAATAAGGTATGGAAGCATGCATTATAAGAGAGAAGAAAAGTTGTTTTTCTTTATCGCCTTCATTTGTACAATCAGGTACTATATTATGACTTCGTTAAGTTTCTATCTAAATGAAAAACAACTTTTGGAGCATTTTGCTATTTAATACTTGTTTTCATTAATAGATACAAACATTAGAAAAAGTTAGTGTTTGATAACCAAAACATAAAATTATATAGTTGGTTTTTCAAATTCAATTGATTATTAAATGTTGATTATCTAAACTTCACTTATTAAGTTCTAATAAAAATTAAAATTAAAATTAATTGATCAGATTTAATCAAATATATTTGGTAAAAGATTACAATATATGTCACTCTCCAAACATACGTATACTGCTGCTATACATATATATTGCAAAAAACAATTATTGAATAAAAAAATATATTAAAAGAAGATATAGATAGCTACATAAATGATCATTAAAATAAAAAGAAAATATTAAAAGAAGATAGATATAGCTACATTAATTGATCATTAACTAACTTTTTTGTTGTAAAAAAAAGTGTACACCATGGCACCTTGTAAATTCTCCAAATGCTTATGTGGCAACAAACTACTTTTGAATTGCCATAATATTATGTATGGAATCACAAAAGTCTCTTCCAACAACATCCCAATATTTCTGGTAAAAGATGGCTTGAAAGCCATCCTTTTCTAGAGCTTTAAGACCATTCATCTCCATAATGACCTTTCTAATGTCTTCATAATTAGGCAGAGAAGACGTTCTAGCCATAACAGAACTAGCAAGAACAAGTAAATCAGCAGGATTAGCACTTCTCGTGATCAAGCCATTTCTAGTAAAGAGATGAAGGAAATACTCCCTAGTCATGAAGAGGAGGGTCTGAGGATCATGGATCCATTGCCCCTGGTCATCACGAAGGCAGGTTATCTTGTTCCTCTTCCTCCTGCTAAGAGTACTTGTATGAAAGTAGCGGGTGTTCATGTCTCCAAACACCACCCAACTTGATATGAACTTCTGGATTCAGAGCATCTCTTCTTGCCAGAGGGTCTACTAGAATTTCAACAAGTGCAGCAAGTGCAAGGTGCTGGGTTTTAACTTTGTTAAAATTTAAATAATCAATTTTTGGGTATTTATGGGTAAATTGGGTACCCATTATCTGCAGTGGCGGAGCCAGAAAATTGGCCAAGGGGGTGTCTTTATCATATCATAAAAAATCACCGATACAATAGAAAATTCAACTTTAAATTAAACAAAAAGTCAACAACGCAATACTCTAAATTCATACAATTACATTAAAATAGTTTCACGTACACCGGTTACAACGTCAAACAAATAAGTTCAGTACATACAAATCAAGACTTCCATTCATCAAATATTACAAATTAGAACTCAGAAGTACCTTGGAATTGATTTTGTGAAACAAACAAGTGAACTTCAATTGGTACTTCTTCACTTTCAACTTTGTTTAAATAAAAGACAAGAAATTTCTCTATTGTAGAGCTAAAAAAAATGAGCGAGTTTAAACAAAAGACAACAATTTATTACTATAAATAAAGACGAAAGTGCATTGCATAACAAAACTCACTCGATCGAAATGATAAGAAATTCTTTCTGCAACTAAATGGTCATTGGTTCGAATTTGTATATGTGAACGGCTATTTGTCGCCAACCAAATTGCTATTTGCCGCCAACTAAAAAAAAAAAATTTGAATTCAAATTTTTAATTTTCCCTTCCTTCCCTTCCTTTCATTCTATAAATTCGGATATCAGGAACAATTGACTCATTCCAACAAAAACTTCTGTTGACGAGCCCACCAGTGCCTCCGTCGCAGGCACCGTTCTTCCATCGTCGGCTAACCTCCCGTCGCCCTCAATCGTCGGAAAACAAGTTTACTTTTTCTGGCCAGCTTTCCAGTTTTGCAACAAGTTTTCCAGTTTTCCGGCGAAAAACACGGCGGGCCGAAAAAAATTGCCGCCCGAACGCCGCAGAGCCGAAAAAAATTTACGGCCGGCCGAAAAATTCTTTCGGCCCGGCGACGCCTCGGCCGCAAATTTTTTTCGGCGTGAAATTTTCCGGCGGCGTGTTCGTCGGCTGGACGAAAAAAATTTGCGGCCGGAGCGACGTCGGGCCGAAAGAATTTTTCGGCCGGGCGTCGCACCGGCCGCAAATGTTTTTCGGCCCGACGTCGCTACGGCCGCAAATTTTTTTGGCCGGCCGACGCACCGGCCGCAAACTGTTTTCGGCCCGGCGGCGCACCGGCCGCAAAATTCTTTCGGCCCGGCCAGTTTTTGTATTTAATTTAATTTAATATGATAATTAATTAGTCAATAAAAAATTAGTTAATTAGTTAATAGAAATTAGCAATTAATGTTAATATTTATTTAAGTTGGTGTATAAATATATTTTTTTTATAATAGGCGTATGAATGTTTAATTACTTAGATTAGTTAATAGAATTTTAATTAATTAAGAATTGATTTAACAATTAATGTTAATATTCAGTACATTAGTTAATAGAAAATTAATTAATTTGTGATTAATTAACAATTAATGTTAATAGTATAGTAGTTAGAAATTTAATTAATTAGTGCGCATCTAAGTATGATATTGTGTAAATTTGTAGATAATTAGATATGGATGATGCGGGTGATGCGGGTGGGAGTGAGTTGCATAGATTCAATGGTAGGGTTGTTGATGCATCGGCACGAAGGAAGAATAAGGAGAAGAAGCGCTCTCGAGATATTGGACATCAGTCACAGGCAAATTTAGGGGAGGATGAGTTAGAGGCTCCTACTGTAGTTGCTCGTTCGGCATCACGGGCGTCTGGTTCTCATGGGAGGAACTAGGGTGCTGCATCACGAGTGGTCTCGGCTGAGTTTGATTGCCTCACAACTAACGACCCTCCTCAAAAACGTGCACGGAGGCTCAATTGCCCTACTCAGATTGCGGTTCATTGACTCGTGCAGTTCATTCACCACTTCCAGAAACTGATGTTCCATGTAGTTGTGGTTCTTCGCAAAACAAGTGTCGATCGCTCCTCTACCAGACACAAGGAAAGTCTTGAATGAAGAGTGAGATGACTCAACTCTATTCGAGCTCGTGTTACAAAGATGAAACACATGGTTCTTGTAGCACTTTTCCCACATTGTCTGATGAGGCAACCACTCACCTCGCACGTAGTCGACCATTTTTATGTTCTTCTCTGTCCAGACCCTCTCAAACTCATTAATCTTTTGAAGAAAACTCTCCTGAGTCCAACTCCATGCAGCTTTGTTGAAATATTTCTTCCATACCGCATGCGCTACCTCTCTGTTTGCAATTCCACCCAGTAATTGCTCAAACTTTTGCTTCACACAGTTGTTGACGTGCCATAAACATAGTAGGTGGACAGTATGTGGGAGAGGGAAGACCACAGGAATAGAAGCAAGCAAACCACCTTCTTGTCTGTCACAATGACATTCGGAACCGTATCACCGAGCAACCTTTTAATACATCGCAGCCGCCACTCATATGATTCCTTTGTTTCCTGCTTAATAATTGCACATGCAATGTTGAAATTCTTCTTGACTGGAGTAACCCCAATAATCTCAACCCATGGCCAGCCGTACCTGTTGGTCTTGTAGGTCGAGTCAATGAGGATGACGTACGGCCATGCATGCAACATCTGAATGGACGTCGGGTGCGCAAAAAACAGATTAGTGAGCACATTATTAGAGTCCTTTTGCAAACAGATATGGTACCCACGCTGTTCAGCTCCGTGAAGCGCAAACTGTATAGCATCCATTTCACCCATCTCATCCAATCTTGTCTTGGAATTTATGTTGTACATCTGTTTGATATCATGATATCATGATGCACACCCCCTTCAGTATTGAGTGTCGTCTTCTGCTGATTTGGTCTCACCCCCCGCCTTCCTCATTAATCTTAACCTCTCTTTTTCAGCCTCACTAAACTGTTTGTTGTGTCGGTGATGTTCTGGATACAACACCTTTTCATGGTTGTGAAACCCTCTATTAGCTCCGGTTTCACGACTTGTCACTCCCTCTATGACCCATGTGTTTGGACCATTCTTTTGCCATACTTCCTTAATACATATCTGAAACTGCAACCAGTACTCTTCGAACTAATATTCCCACGCGTCTCCTTCGTAGGGTCTAGTTTATAAGACTTAACGATCCTACTACTTCTGTCGCAATACATACAGAGGGCAGTAACAGGATGTAGTCCAGCGGTATTCGGTTTCCATGCTCCTCTAACAATAAAGAACACACACTCCTGAGCGATTGCTTTTGCAGCTAACTCAGCTAACTTCACACTTGCATAATGGATCCCATTCTCAAATTCCTGTGTGTAATCATGATCGGCCGGTAACCACTCTGACATTTTTCCTACAATTACAATATAATACATCAATATTCCTGTGAACCTAAACGCTAATTTCAAGTCTTAACCGCTAAATTCAACTTCTAAACTCTAAATTCAATTCTTACACGCTAAATTCAACTCTTAAACGCTAAATTCAACTCCTAAACTCTAAATTCAACTCCTAAAATCGAATTTTTCCGAAAAATTCCAAAAACAGACGGTGGGCCGAAAAATTCCGGCGGCCGGAACCTGGCCGGTCCGAAAAATTCCGGTGGCCGGAACCTGGCCGGGCGAAAAATTATGACGGCCGGAGCCAGGCTGAGCCGAAAATATCTTGTGGCTGAGCCTGGTTCCGGCCGCCGGAATTTTTCGGCCCGGCCAGGTTCCGGCCGCCGGAATTTTTCTGCCCACTGTCTGTTCGTTTCAAATCGTCGGAAAAATTGTTCGAAACTACAAAAAAATTACGCACCTGCTTAGTGATGATTCATGGATGCGTGTACGCAGTATATGTCGAGGATAGGCTTTCCCGATGATTTTCCGGCGACTTTTCCGGCGAGCGTTGAATTTTTCTGATTCACCCTTGGACGCAATACCAGACTCAACTCTTGCGACTCCAGAGGAATCAAATATACCAACTACCGACTACAAAACTCAATGTTACAAAAGCACATAGACATAGCCCAGAGGAATCAGATTCAGACATACCAACTACAACACTCAAATGTTACAAAAACATATATACATATAGCCCAGGGAGGGTGGTGCACAACGCTCACCAGAATAGGAAGATAGTGACTTGCTGGACCAATACCCAAATGATGTTGTGAAGAAGAAGAAAAACAAGGTGAAGCTGCAGACCAGTTGTACGATTATATGCACACACAAACAAGTACAAGATGTTGAGCAGAAGGGGAAGTCAAGAGGGCAGAGATATGCTCCTAAGGTTCAGAAGATTGTTGGTTGGCTTGATTGTCCACGAATCCACCTCCTGTGATTCCTCGGCAAGGATGAAAGGCAAAGAGATTTCTCTGATCATCAACTCACCACAATAGGGGCACTCCCCGGCTACTGCATCATCCAATTGAGACCGCAGCTGCAGATTCCAATGGCCGCAAAGTTAAAACAAATACCCCCTAAGCTAGGGAACTTGAACTGCTAGAGCACAGGCAAAATGCTACATTTAAAAGAGAATTTTTGTTAGCAGTGATTATCGACTAAAGAAGGCAAACCTTATCTGCATTAGTTGTGCTTGAAACCGAATCTTCAGCCATGCTGCCGTTTAGGTCTTTTCTAGTTCCATCGCCCAACAAAGTAAGTTGCTTCTGCAGGTCCAGAATACACTCAGCCTGCATCGTTTGTTCATTACAAACATTAGCCGAATAAATGTAGCTGACTAACTGCGGATACTGCCCCATCTCGCAAGCAAATCAACTTATGGAATCTTTGTTGAAGAAAAGATTAGGCACAAAATACTACAGCAACTCACCAGTGATTCAGTGGTACATCGTGTTACATGAGCAATCAAGCATTCTGAATGGAAGGCATGCCCGCAGGGGAATACGTAGAAGGGAGCAATTGGTCCCACAGATGTGTATCCTCTAGAGATGCGATAATCCCCACCCACATTCAATATCTTCCTTCTACAAACCTGGTAAAAAATTGAATGTCAGGAAATGACTGGGTTACAGCTTGTCTCAAATGAAACAAGTTGAAGATTGAGTGATATCATAAAAAGCACCTAAACAAGTATGCTTCCTGTTGAAGATTCTAAAAAGGGATGTGTTTGTTCTATCTTTTGATAAAAAATGTCTTCGTTTTAAAGTTTAAGTGAAAGTGGAGTAAGTATTGTTTGGTTGGGTTCTATAAAAAGTTGAGGTGAGGGGATAGGAGATAGTTTATAGTCATGAAAAAGTAAATGATGGAATGGCAGATAGCTTGTTTAGAACTAAAGATTAATGAGAAAAGTATATTATTATTTCAATAAGGCAAAATTAAAAAAAAAAATTTATTAGTGTTGTGACCTTTAGATTTAAATCATTTGTGGGGTTTAAGGCTAATAGTTATTTTATAAAGTTGGATTGAAATTGAATTTTTTAGCTTTGTAGTAAACTTTTCTTTTAGTTACTAATTTTTTAGCCAAAACAATCACACCCTTGCTCAACTGGCCACCAAGAAGACTTCTAAACAGTTGCCAGGTGGAGAGACAAATTGTGCATTTAGAGAGACTATCTAAACAGACTCGCGCACAAATCATATACAACAAGGAAGCGGCATGTTTAGAGAGAAATAACACAGAAGATGAACCATACCCCACAGTCCTCATCTTTATCAATGACAGCATATCTCTGAGCAAGAGCATTGATATCTTTCCTTATATTGTCTGCACCGTGCGTCGCATCATTCATCTCCTGTTTCAGCTCTTCAATTTGCTTGTTGTAATCCTCCAATGATGAGCATATTGCTTCCTACATTGGGCACAGAAACAACTCAATCCTGATACTCAGAACCTTCGCAAGCAAATGGACAACTGAAGCTGAAATTGACTTGGTAGCTAGATTAACTTTCAAACTTGCTTGAACTAGAGAAATATAACCTTACAATTCCCTACATGCAACTGTGAGAATTGCTAAATTGGGTGAATTATAAGAATCCCAATTAGAAAGCTTATTTATATTATGCAGACTCCCTCAATAGAATCATCATGTTTGTTCTTAGGGCCTCTAATCAACACAGTCGTCTCTAAACAGTAAATAACTTTCAATGGATCCCAGTCAGAAATCTATAGCATGGAGTTGAACTGTCAAGACAAGTAGAGAAGGGGAAGAAGAAACAGTACACCACTAAATTAAGAAATTGACTCATGGCATATACATCCGAGTAACTGCCTCTGAAGAGCAAGTGTTTGTTTAGCCAAACTGACATACACTGCCAACAAAAATAAAAGGAACTACATAATCTTACCTTAAAGTCATCAATCAGGGCAAAGTCTGGAAAGAAGGGAAGTATATCCTCAATCTTTAACAGCCCATCAGTTTCTTTAAGAAATGCTATGGCCTTTCTTATGTTCTCCCTCTTAGTTCCCTTTTCCTGTCCAATAACATGCTTGGCGACCATCATCCATAACTTCTTCCTCAAGTCTTCATCATCTTCCACTTTATCAGCTTCAGCCATTGCAAGCTCAGGGTCGACCTAATGCGTACAGAAAGAGCAGTCCCGAAACCAGCATTAAAACGAAGCAAAAAGACCTTAATGCCTAATTATCCTACTGAATCCATAAAAATGGATGAACTATAAGTTTTTGGGATACACATATAGCTACTATTGTGTGATGTACAAAAAAACAAAGACTTGTCAAAAGGACTGATGAGTGATGATAGAGATCTGTAAGCTTGAACCGTGTCTTTTGTTTTATGTCATCACTTATAATTGCAGCTATGGTATCTACAAACTCACAACAGTTGTAAGCCACTATGACCCACCAGTACTCCGGTTTATGCCAAAACAAATAAAGGTTTCATGCACAACATTATTAGAAACAGAAGCTTTAAAGCATTACCTGCAGAGCAAGAGCAACTGCTTCTTCATGCATGGACATCATGCTGTATATATGAACGCAAGCTCGCATTCGCTTCTCTTTGAGGCAAAGGCGGAGGGCATACTTCGGATCATAGAAGAAATCAGGTACGTTATCTCGTCCTTTCCCAAACTTGCATTGTAGGAACCGTAGAAGTGAACTATCATCTTCCTAGATTGGAAAAGGTAAAAGAGAAGAAAAGCAAAAAATATCATTTAAGCAGCTTACATATGATCTATGGGTAAACAGTAAAACAAAGGGAAACTGCAGGAGACACACAGGTGGGGATACAAGACAAGAGTTGCATAAGAACTATGAGAATGCTACTGCCATGGAGCTACTAAAGCACCACAAGACCCAAAATAAGAGAAACATTAAACAGCTACAAGATCCAAATAAAGAGGAGGAGCTACAACGGAACTAAGATATCCAAAATACACTTATGATGTTCCTGAGCCAGATCACATAGCCTCACAGGGACACCTTGGTTATATGTACGAGGAATTGTCAGGCAAACTTATGCTGCCTCAACTGACAAAAGTAGTTACATTGTTCTTCAGCAATGTAGCCAAATGGACCTAGTCTAGCTAGAGATATCAATCAAGATTCAGATTCCCAGGTAAATTACACAGTTGAAGCCCTTACATAAATGCATTATAGATATAAATAATTAAGAACATGGACATAAACAAAATTATGAACAGAAGAAGTCAAGCAAGATATCAACATCAGAAATCAAATGATCAGATTGAACCTGCTTAGCATAGAGAGATAAAAGCAAATTGTGAATTCCAGGATCCTCATTATACAAACGATGAACACAGAACTCTAGGTACTTGATGACCTCGTGAGTTTCATTCCTGCATTCGACAAATCCTCCGTTAGAAAACATAAACGTGGAACAAACATTTAGACACCAATGTGTTCGAATAGGATTTACAGGACCAAACTAACCCCAAAGGATGCATGCCAAAACTTTTTTTGAAACTAATTATTTGCCTATTCACTTCTTGGCATATCAGTTATACACAACAGGAAAACATCCAAATATGAAGATGCCATATTAGTAGGCACCTTTCCTAAAACTTGGGCAAAGGTTTTCAATTTGAAATACAGTGTGTAGGCTTACAGCTACGTGAATCAGCATTGCTTTCACGATCATATTTCGTTTATATTGACACCACCTTTCCATAGTGTAACGGTTCATCCAGTCAAATCCCATGTTAAATAAATCAAGTTGATGCCTTGACAGCCTGAATGTGGGAAAGGCATGGTTAGCATCAATCAGAGGTGAGAACCACATCATTATTCTCAAGATCATTACTTTGCATGGGGTTCACTTGAATAGCGCATCATTGCAGGAATCAATTTCCGCGGGTTTAGGTTTTTTGTCCCCATCCAAGACTCCACAGTTTCGTATGCATCAAGAGCAATGAGATCTGGAGCAAACTTGTACTGAAAATGTAGATTAATACTGGGATCACAATAAAGGTTATAGATAAGAAAAGCAACCCCAGCCTTAGATTAGGTGACTAAGACATCTGAATACAACTTGTACTTGTACCTGGAGATCTATAGGCACAGCTGGCTTTTGAAGTAGTTCCAAAGCTTTTTTTGTTTCTCCTTGCTGAAAATGACAGAACCACCCAAAATAAATTATATACAAGTCCTTAAGAATTTTATCTACACTCAACAGATTAATCGTTCTCTAACTTATTTTTCATGATAGGTTAGAAATTAATTCTCAAATTTACATCTCCAGTGAAGAAAGTAGAGTAGGGTTTTGGTCTTATGATACAAATTTGATAGAAAGAATTTGTGATAGCCTTTTGTGATTACTTGAGATTTACAAAAGGACATCTGTTTTTTTTTTTTTTTTTATCAACAGAATTACAGAGACTGGATAGTGTTCGTAAGTGCATAATTTGAAAAGGTGAACACGCAATGTGCAACAAACATCAGAACTTGGAGCCATAAACTTACTTTTACAGTGCAGTAAGCAATTGAAATATCATTCTAAAAGAAATGAAACTGTGAAATCACCTGTAGATAGTGATGAATAACAATCTCATGCTGCTCCTTCAGACCAGCAAAATATACTAGTTCTTCAACCCGCCCGTAACTGCTTAACATGTATCGTCATCATTTTTAGCAGATGTACTTAACACACCAAGGTTCGATAAGTAATAGTACAGAAGTAGCGAGTCAGCAAGAAGAAAAACAGACCATCATATCAATTTTTACAGTTACAGTAACTTTCTTCAGACAGTATAAGATTAAAAGAGCAGGGAGCTCCCCCTTACTTTTATTCATTCCCTTGCCTAAATCACATAATGCAGATTATTTACCTCTCCAGAAGTTTCATTGTTGTTGCCTCGTCAAGGACATCTTTAGAATCACTGAGGAAAGCACAGAATTCTTGAATGATGGACTGATACTCAACACCATGATTTTCCACTGTACTGTCTTCTTCCAAAAGAAGCCTATTTATCTGAACATCAGCATAGAAATTCCCATGCTTGAAATGTCATTTGGTGTCTTCGCTCCTAAATGCATCATTATATTGCTAAAAGTTTCTCTAGGCTTCCAGACTTACGAAATTTTTGGGAATGTCTCTAGAGAGAATGAGAGTGACCAAGTGTGCCCAGTTATTAGTTCTCTAGGATTCAATTGTGAAAAATGCATAGCAATGCAAGACACTAAATAAACAAGCACTCATTCTACAGGAAATCAAGCTGAAACTAACCTCCTTGGATATTCAATATTCATTTTGAGCAACCACTCTGATATATCATGTTAAGTCATCTAAATAAATGGAATAACAGTGGCCGAGTAGCAGACATGTTATAGACGTTAATTGTTCTAGTGTCACAATATTGATAGATCAAAATACCTTGTCCAAGTACAATTCAGTTGCCCATGTCGAAATCATTGTTATCTGGCACTTATCATCTTTTGTGAGATTATCTAGCCTATGCAGCAAGAAAGTCCTCAAAGCATCCTGGAAAAAAAAAAGTGAATTGTGAATAGAAAACAAAGAGAACTCTTCAAAATAACTATCCAGTGTAGCCAAAACTTTAAGTGCATTTCACTGTTCATCCTAAACTACTACTGCATATCTGGAGATACAGATGCCTTCCAGCTACCGGTACTAGCAGTTGCAACAAACCACAGAAAACCTAAGGATACATTTGGAAGTAATCTAAACTACGAAGTACTCATTGAGATCATATAACATTAGACCAGATACCTGTTCTCCTGCACTGATAAACTTGAGGGCGACTTCCTCAAATGATAGTATATAGGTAATCTGCAAAATAAGGAACCATAAACAAGTCATGGATTGCTTAACCAGATTAATTGCTAAAACCAATTCAGCAAAGTTCTTATTTGATGAAACACAACAGATAATCATAATGGAAGCAGTATTACACTGCTTATCCAGATTATAGACAACAATATTTGGCAAATTAGTTCTCTTGAAAATTATTTCACTTTTTTTCTTTTTTGGTGAGCATCACTTGTTCTTCGACACAAGCAAGCTAGGCTAAGACAGGGAAAAAGGATAGTCTCCAATGAATACTTTATCAGAGCTCACTGAATGGGAATTTCAAGAATTTAAAACTAAATAGAGAGCTGAGTTAATAAATTTGAAAGGAGTTCAGAAAGAACCGAATATAAGTGGAATGTACTTTTGCATAGAAGGATGCCGCTCTTTCAAAATCCCTCGACGAAAACGCAGCATCTGCCTGCAAGCCGACCGCAAACCGCTCCATTTCAGTTATAAAATAGTCAAACAAAAAGATCAAGAACTTCTGCATATAACATGGCATAATTCCAAATTTTCAGTATTAGAAATTGAGAACTGCAGTTAAGAGTGTTAATTGAATCGCAGTTGTTTTGATACCTGGACCAAATATACTTGATCCCTGTGAAATGAATCACGACAATTTGCTAAAGCTGCAGCATATTCTTTCATGTCAAGATACACCTTCCACATATCTCGGTCCTCATCATTGACAGAGACCTACAGAGTAAAGCCATACCAAAAGTGAAAAGTAACTTTCTGTTCAAAGATAAACAGACACAAAACAAAAATCTGCAAGTCACTGGAAAATGACCTGGAAGACAGAATTCTGATCATATGCATAGAACAAGCCAGCAGTGGCATCGCTGCATAACCCAATAATACCACTCCTTGAAGCTGATTCTGATGTCAGATCAAAATGGAGTTCCTCTATTATATGCTCACTAATTCTGTTCACGACCTACAAAGTGTTTAGAATAGAAGTCTGAAAGAAGCGAACAAATTTAGAATACCAGTAAAAACAAGCAACTATGTTATCAAGTCATCTTATCAGCATGTACATAATAGAGTAGCTGAACATTGGAACCGTCAATATTAGAACCTGAGTTTCAAACCTAAAGGGCCAGGACTAACCCATCAATAGAGTATATAGGTTAATCCAAGAATAACAGAGCAAAGACCAGACATATCATTACAAATGCCAGCTAGACAGAAGTGCCGATCTAATAGTGCTACTTACTGAACTCACCTTAACCTTGTTTCCAATGAGAAGTAAGAAATGGAATTCTGAAACAGCCATAGAAGTTGGCTTAACAACTTCAGAACCTTTGCTTAGTTTTGAGTAATCTAGAAGCGCTTTGTTCTCAACAAAATTTTCATCACCATTTGGACAACTGCAAATAATTTTACAGGAGACAATTCGTGAGGGTGAGCTAACTCCAAAAACCAGACGTTAGAATGTAATCATAGGTCTCTTAAAATCTAGACTACTGACATCCATGCATCAAGAAACAATAGACTTCCTCCCAAAACTCTAAAAATAGCAGGAGTTCATAATTTTCATGAGATAGTAAATCTCAATGATCAGAAGATATCCGGACAGCTAAATATGCTGACATACAGGAAAAACGGAAAAAGTCTACAGCATCCCTGTTTACCTATGCTGTGCTCCAAAATTTAGCCCTCCATAGTAGATACCTGCTCCTGAAAGCCATGCAAAATGTGTCGTTCTTCTTTGCTTGATAAAGAAATGCAGTTCGCTGAAATTTTATTGTAAATGGAATCAAGAATCAGGTATCATAAACTCCATAGGACTCTGTTCAAAAGTTATTCTTCTGCTGACATAGAGAACAACAAAATTGAGCAACCTTTGCACTATTTCCACTGAAAAATAATTCTCGCTTTTCCTAGTTCAAGTTAAAAGAACTATAACACAATACAATGCACACTTGCCTGTTTGGTACTTCTCCAGGTAATTCCATAAAATGAACAGCGCGATCCAAATAACTAGCAAAAACAGTCTGAAATGCACAAATGAAGCATTAGAGCCATATAGAATAGATGCAGAATAATGTATTAAATACTAGACTTACTTCCAGCAATCCAATTCCAGTAAAGGAATAGAGCCGCGTAGGAGTAACAGCCATCACATAATATCTGGTTCCATTTTCTAAACTAGCGGTCTCCATCTGCACCCAGAGTCAAGAGACGGGGACCTTAGTTACATATCTGGTCAAGGATATTTCTCACCATATCAACAAAAAAAGGAAACTCATGCTGGCGCAATAAATAGAAAAAGAAAACTAATTGTATGGCTAGCTGAGCAGACCTCAATCATATGAGAAACGGAAGCAAAAAAATAAATGAATATCAATTGTAGTGTATAAGGATGAATTTCAGGTTAGTGAAGGGATGAGAGGGAAACAAAAATTCCGGCTTCCGGGTTCTAGGTTGCTAATTAAGTCGCAATTACACAAACTAAAAGGTAGCAATCAACAAGAAGCAGCTGGTAGAAGGATTGTCAAATAAGGGACATCAAATGACAGTACCTGCAAGCCCATAAAAGCTTGTGGTAGTTCTTTCAATTCATATAAAAACTTTATGTACTTCTCCCTCTTATCCTTCTCATCAACAGCGATCTCATAAAGTTGGCCGTTGTCGGTGCCAAGAATGACTTCCTTGGTAGAAGCTGAGTTTGAACAGAGCACACAGAAGAATACAAAGCTTTGGGTTTTAAGACTCCGTGCAACTCAATGTGAAACAAAATTCATGCTCAACCGACATACAGTTCACACATAATTGTACCTTCTGTAATCTGCTGCCTATTCCAGGCAACTGCATTTACAACAAGACCTTTCAGTCTGCCCAATAAACGCGGCTTGCTCCACTTGGCATGAGTATAGTAAGTCTCAGCACCACCAGCACCAACGACAGTGGCAATGCAGTGACTTCCTCCAGGATCAACAAACACTCTGTGGATCGATTGCTCGCCGGGTCGCCCCGCGCAAAGGTCTATGTCTAGAATCCAAGGAAATTTTGCAATGGAATCAGAAGACATTCAGCTAACAATAACTTGTACCAAACGAAATGGAAACTCTATGCGTTCGAAGGAGTCTATTCAAATCAGTTTGAGGCGAATTCGACCGAAGAAACCTGGTTCCACAAACAATTACTCACCGTAAGAATCACCGACACCGAAATCGTGCCTAATAACCCATCCCTTGCTTGTTCCCAGCACAATGACGTCGTTACCGGCCGCCATGGCAGTGATCACGCCGCGCCCTTTCGTCGCGTACCTCTCCAGGAGATCGACGGTGAACACCTGCCTCTCGCGATCCATGTTCTTCCGATGAACTTTACCAGCGCCGTCTGTGGTACCAGAACAGCGCCTATAACTGGAATTTGAGCGGGAATTCTCTTCAGAAGGACCAAACCGGTAATATACTGAATTCCAGAAGCTCAACTCCGCCGCTCCACCGATGTCGGCAATCCGCTGGCAACTTTACTCGACAAGAATCAGGGGTGCCAACTGCATATCTTATCTTAAAAAAATATTAAAAGGACTTATGCCACATCAGCTTTAGAATTCAGCTTCCATGTCAACAACATTAAAAAAAATACTATTCATGTTTTCTTCACTTATTTATAAATTGTTTTCTGCACTTTAAAATCAATAATCAGGCCGTTCCGTAATATTCGGAGGCCCTGTTCGACAATTTAAAATGTCGACTCAAAATTTTATCTCATAAATCTATTAAAAATAATAATTGCTTAAGTTTAGAAAATTATTACAGAAGTAATAATATTGTCTATTAATGTTCAAAAAGTAACAATCGTCTAGCATTATTTGAAATAAAATCCTCTATTAGCCCTTCCATCTTCTCTATAAATTTTGAAAAACGAAATCAATCTATCTATTTCAAAAATATCATCAATAAGTATATCTTTGGATTGTAAATATTTACTAACCAATTTGTTGAGTGCAATATTTCATACCTAATAACTAATGAAACAATAAACTCAAAATCACCTAGTTCATTTTGTGCAAAAAATTTAGCTTCACTTCTATTTTTCGAATTGCCATCAAGATTGACTACTAGTATTCAGGCTCCTCAATTCTCTGTTTTCTTTTATGCTTAGAACTACCTTTTTTAAATTTTTGGGTTGACATAATTAAAAATTATAGCTAAAAATTAATGATTCCAAATTTCCAATCAATATTAAGTTCCTTGTTAAAGAAAAAGGAAAAAAAAGTTAGAACTTAAAGAAAAGTGTTGGGATAATAGGGATAGGCATTTATTAAGAGTTAATTATAATTGGGTGTGAATAATTAATATTTAGGCGTTAGATGATTTTGGAAAGTTGAGAAATTTTGGGGAAAGAGATGAAGAAAGACGTTAAATAATCTAACTATTAGTTTTAAACATCAAATAATTCCCAGCTTAGTGGTCAAGTGCCCTTTTCATGGACAAAGAGGTCCATAGTTCGATTGCAGTTGCTGTCATTCTATGGCGTTTGTTTTTTCTCTGATCTGCTAGTTGCGCCTTTTATGGACTTTGAGGCCCAGTTTGGAGCAAAGCCCAAGGGGTTGCAGCTCCACCATGCCAGCCCAACAGGCTCGGATTATGAGGTCGAATTTGACTTTGACTCCGGACTTATGAATTATGAGGCCCCCAAAAGATGAGGCCCTGTGCTGTGGGTCAGACCAGCACAGGGTCTAGGCCGGGCCTGTCAATAATCATAAAAAAAACAACCTTATGTCTACACATGAGAATGATTCTATAAAGGTCATTTTTGTCATTGCACTAACCTCATGTTTATATATTAAAAATGTTATCATTGTAATTTGAACATTGGTCACTTGAATAAAGAAAGAGCATTATAAGCAACTAGGCTATATTTTATTCATTGTTATTTTTTTGATTGAACTCTAGCAATATGTTTGGTGAAAATGCTTCTATATTTATACTAGCTTTTTACCCGGCCTGTTGGCCGGAGAGATTTATTTTATAATTTATATTAATTAACTTATTTATATTTTTAAATCATTTTGTATATTCTAGATAATTTGTGTTCTCTATTCATAACAGAGTTTGTAGTATATTTATATTGAAAATTTTCAATATTTAGCATAGTCACTTGTGATGCTTTGGTTTTCTAATCATAAATTATACCGTTGTCACGTCCCATTTAGAACTTATGTCAAATTTGTCAACCAAAACACTAATATTCAACGTACGACAACCTAAACCACACACACATATAGTTCAAGCTATCGTGCGCAAGGAGTATGCTATATTCTTGTATTTACACTACCATACGACCATTGAGTTTTACTATTTAGATCCCGAATTAACCATAGTTTTTTTGGGCATGATATTATACCATAACCTCTAATAGGTGAACTCCAATCCCTAATTCTCTAACCTCTAATTTATGCACATACTTCGTCATAACTATCTTCTATTGTATCTTGAGTAAAATCAAAAGTGTAGTATACCTTGATATTATATATATATATATATATATATATATATATATATATATATATATATATGATGGCGTCTTCGGTGCACTCACTTTTTTGGGTGCATTCAGTGCACTCGCATCATAACCATCATTTTAATATGCGATTTATGTCAAAATGATGTCGATCATCACTTATGATATGATGAACAATAACGCACATGAATTTGCATAAAAAACATTAAAAGATTTACTTTAATTTGAAGGATTTAGAGTTTAGAGATTTAGTGTTAGGGTTAGGATTTACAATTTGGGGTTTAGGGACAGAACTCAAATTTGGTGGTCTAGGACTTAGGGTAATCCGCTAATTAGTTGTTATCATATGTTATATCATCATATTACACTAATTTTCTACAAATTAAAATCCAAAATCTGACACCTTAAGACTAGTTTTGAGTTGGGTGCATTGAACACACTCATTTTTATGAGTGCACCGAAATAGTCACCATATATATATATATGGGGAGTTCTACGGTACCCAGGGTGAAATCGGGGGTACCGCATACCTTGAGTAAGAAAATGCTATCCAGAACATGAATTGACTGATCGTTCAGACATGATACTATACTCTAACTCTTAAAGATCAAAATCTAGGTCTTAATTCTCTAAATCTTACACCCCAAGATCAATTTAATTAGAAACAATAATCGACAGTTATGATTGGTCCAAATATATGCAAAAAAAATCAATGCAGCATCTTAGAGTTTATAGGTTATGATTTAGATAATTAGAACCTAGGGTTCACTCATTAAGGGTTAGGGTATAGTATCATGCCCAAAAATCCTGCTAATTCAAAGTCTATATAGCGTTTTCATACTCAAGGTATGTGGTAACTCGGATTTCACTCGGGGTACCGTAGAGTGCACCATATATATATATATATATATATATATATATATATATATATATAGGGAGTTCTACGATACCCAGGGTGAAATCCAGGGTACCGCATACCTTGAGTAAGAAAACGTTATCCAGAACTTGAATTGACTAATCTTTCGGACATGATACTATACTCTAACCCTTAAAGATCAACATCTAGGTCTTAAATCTCTAAATCTTATACCACAAGATCAATTTAATTAGAAACAATAATCGACGGTTATGATTCGTCCAAATACAGGCAAAACAATCAATGCACCATCTTAGGGTTTATAGTTTATGATTTTGATAATTAGGACCTAGGGTTCACTCATTAAGGGTTAGGGTATAGTATTATGCCCAAAAATCCTACTAATTCGAGGTCTAGATAGCGTTTTCATACTCAAGGTATGCGGTACCCTAAATTTCACCCGGGGTACCATAGAAGGCACTATATATATATATATACACACACACCAAAGGTAAGATAGCCTAACGGTAAGCTGCCGCAATAGTGAAGGCTTGGGAGTTGCAGATCCCAAGTTCGAATCTAAGCGAGGTCCGTTGGTGTTCCCAAAGGTATAAGGCTGCTAGTGGCGAAGCCCCGTTGGTGTCGAATTGAATGCAGGTGGCCCCTAGGTTTAGTAGGACCCTCTGTCACAAAGTGGCACGTGGGGAAGAGGTTCCTCGGTGATAAGAAAATATGTATGTGATATATATATATATATATATATATATATATATATATATATTAAAGTGCTACTTTCCTATCTCCCACCCCCGGGATAGAGATCCCGCTTTTACCCCCATAACGTAAGACAACCATCGGGGTTGTCTATCGTTCAATATGTAATATATATAAAGAGGCAAATCCTAAGTCCCTGCTATTTATTTCTTATCCTCTCCCGCCACCCCCTTTATGGAGAATAAAAGGGTAGGGATGACAGGATCATAGCTCGATATAGTTTTATTTTGTTCATCCTATCGGAGGTTATGTTATTTTCTGCTTTTTTGGGCTTCTTTTTATTCTTCTTTGCGTATGATTGTGATCATAGGTCTTTAGTCCTCGAAAGGGATTGAGATTTTAGGTCCTTTGGAAATCCAATGCACATTCATGATCCTCGAGTTTGAACGAACCCTCGACCAATGTTGTAAAGATTAGGACTTTTTAGTGAGAAATTCTTAGTAAAGATACTTCATTATTGGATCTATTTATTCATCCATATTGAAACTTGACACACACCATAGCCCTCATGATAATTAAATTCTCTAATCTCGACTCATTTCCATTTTGGATGTTAGTTTTTTTATGAAGACGCTTAAATTTAGTATATTATACAATATGTATAAATCGTTAATTCTTGAAGTTTAGACTATACCTCACCCGTGGTCATTGTTATGTTGACTTAGAATCTCAATCTAATACATTCACACACACTATCGAGGATTTTGGTCTTAACATGGTCGTTGAATGTGTAATTTTCAAATATTTTATCACATATATTAATAATTGATAAAGAGTGTCTACAATACACACATATTTCAAGTGCAATTAAAATGTCTTATCATTTGAACAATATTGGTAGATTTCATTTGATTATTTGCATTAACTTATTATCTTATACAACATATATCAATTCGTGTTTCTCGAGTTTGGACGAACTGGCAACCAATTTTGAGAGTTGAGATTATTGGATAAAAATACTTGATTGCTGGTTAAATATGTTTATCCCAATTGACTATCATACTAAATTTTGTCAACCTTTATTTTTTAAATGCCTAGGTTAGTAGTTGGTGACACGGGATGTTTATCGTAGTGTGGTATGAAGTTAAAGTTAGTCAACAATCATACTTAAGTCATTTTGAAAATTTTGATTTATAATTCTCGACGATAACTCCTATCTGAAAGAAAATTTTTTAGCTTACGACTTAGAACCTCAATAATGCTTGCTC